TGAAGAGGGAGTCCATGAGGTTATACCTCAGCTTCTTCTTCCTCTTCCTTGTGTGGTTCCCTTTCCTTCCTCAGGTGACACCTTCTAGACTCCTCATACAACCATACAAACCAAACCTAGAGATAGAACTTCAGAGATTTAAATAAAGGAAGATGAAACCTTAAAGGAAGATGAAGAAATGGATGAAAATACTTACTGTGTTGTTCTTCTTCTACTTGGCAGACAAGAATTTGGGGAAGGCAAAGAAGAGATCAGGAGAAAACAATATAGCTAAGGAGATATTTTATAGGGTCCAAAACCCTAGGATAAATGTCAATGATTGGTTGAGGGCAAAGTGGTCATTTGGCTTGACTCCTTAAAATATCAGACAAGGAAGGTGGAGTCTAGTGGTTCACCAAGCATCATGGACCAAAGTCTAGAACCATAGTTTAAAATAGTTTTGGGGGTCAAAATGCATTTTTCCAAAGATGATTTCTAAACAAACACTTGGTTCAGATTCCTCCCGGTCTCACTCAGATTGGTTTCTCAGTTTAAAAATTGGTACGCAAAGTACCCGAAAATTTAGGATTTTGGAATTAAAATAAGTCCCGGTGTTGAATTTATTTAAAAGTGGTTCAAAATAATTTATTCAAACACCGATTTCATCGCAAAAATGTTTATAGAGTGAAAATGGCTATTTTGGAATTTCTTAAAAACCGAATTTATAAAATAAAATTTTGGGTTGTCACAGCATCTCTCGTTTTCCTATCCGCCGACATGCTTGTAAGTAGCACTCGCGGGCGGCCCTTTGGTCAGAACGGGCGGCGCCTATTCCGGTCGGCGTCAGGAACTTCAAGCACAGGTGCTCAACTGAGATTAGTGCTCTTAAATCCTCCAAGCCGAGTCGTTTGAGGATCATGTTGTGTGAGCACGACAGATCGACCACAATGAACTTCATGTCCAGCTTTCGGACGTTGGGGTAGCTGCCGACCTCTACGGGCAGAGTGATGGAGCCTTCTGCCTCTATGGAGTCCCCCGTGAAGCCTGCCAAGGGTGTCTTCACCGAGGTCAGCTGTTCCCGAGTCAAGCCCAACTTAGTGAAAGTCTCTAAATATAAGATGTTAACGCTACTTCCTGTGTCTACCAGGATTCGCCGGACAACCACCCCATTTACGTCTATTGCGATGACGAGCGCGTCACGGTGTGGCATCTGGCCGGATGGCAAGTCTTTGTCAGAGAAAGTGATCAGCTCTCGGCATACCTTCTTCGTGCTGCCTTGCCGAGCCCATGTCTTCCGTGTGTTTGACGAGTCGCCTCCTAGGCCGCCGACTATCATATTGATGACCGGCTTCTGCTTCCACTGCACTTCCTCTTCCGCGGAAACCGGTCGTTTACCGCGATCTCGGTCGGCTGACCTAGAGGGATCGTCACTCGCCTTAGGTTGAGATGAGGTCTTTCTCCGCCACTGATTGGGAGGCGGGGTACCTTGTTGGATGATTTCTTCCATGATTTTTTTCAAGTATAAGCACTCTTCCGTACTGTGAGTCTACGACTTATGGTAATGGCAGTACTTGGCCAACTTGCCGGGATCTGATCCCTCCGGATGACCACTCGACGAAGCCGGCGACGGCGGCGATAGGAGTGGGCACCGATCCTATCAAAGGAGCGTCTTCCTTCAGGGTGACTCGGTCAATCCCCCCGATGTTTTTCTCTTATCTCGCCCTTTACTTGTTTAGACCCAGAGGTTCCACCGACTTCCCGCTATCGCTTGTACTTGATCGCCTGCTCCGTATTAGCTCGTTTGTTGGCCATGCTTCCGCGTACGTGGCCGGGCGGTTGTCTCGAAGGTCTCGGTACAACTGCCCAGATCGGAGTGACTCAATGAAAAATGTGAGCGCGGTTTGATCTTCGACCCCTTCTATGGCTTGGACCTCTTTTTACCACCGGGCTAAGTAAGTTTTGAGCGAATCTCCTTCATCCTGATGGATGTCGCCGAGGTGCGTAAGGTCCTTCTGGGGCTTGATGTTGGCCGCATAATGGCTCATGAACCAGTCGCCCAGGTCCTCGAAGCTACGAATAGATCTTGGAGGGAGAGCAACGAGCCATCTTTGAGCAGGGCCTTTCAAGATCGGTAGGAAAGTGCGGCACATAACCGGATCTTTTACCCCCAAGACCTGCATCTTCGCTTAGTAACTCAAGAGGTGCTCTCATGGGTCGCCAGTCCCGTCGAAGGTCGCTTGCTCTGGGAACTTGAAATCACCGGGTATTTTAAATGACATGATCTCTGCTGAGAATGGTAGAGCGGTAAGCATAACCCGACCGGGTGATTTGACTCTTCCCTCCGTTTGATCCTTCAGATTGCGTATCTCCTGCGCCAAATAGGCCACCTCGTCGGGGTTCCCTGTCGGATTCCCTGTGGACTCGGTACTTTCACCCCCTTGAGACTTAGCTTGCGGCCCTTCCTCTATTGCCCGTTTCCTGGTTCGTAGACTCTGAGTCTTGGTCTTCCGCGAATGGGCTACTCTTTCTTTGGCTACCCATGTCCTGCTGACTAGACCGGACTCAGTTGGGCGCTTTTTCACCCAGTCGCTCACGCGCGGGGCGTCGAGCGGCATCTGGGCCCAGCCTCGAATGCACAGACCAGGCCTGCCGATTGCCCTACCTTTGGTTCTCCTGGCCTCTGCCAACGTGTCCCGACGGTTGGGCCTGATCATGCGGCAGTGCGTGGGGCGACTGGGAGCTCGACGGGGCCCTCCGCCCTCATGTCTGTGCCGCTACTGCCCGAGCGATAGCATCGATTTGTGTGGGCGTAAGTGGCATCACGGGTGGTGGAGGCAGTCGAGGCGCCGACTCACTTTCTTTCCCTCGTGAACTGCGCCGACTTAGCCGCTCTCGTAGAGCTGCTTGTGCCTTGTTGCTTCTGGAGGCACGACTTTGCTCCCCTTTTGCCATGTTTTTTAATCTTCTGTCCTTGGCGAGTCTTCTCCCCGGACACTTTCCGAATTCGCTCAGACAAAGAGGTAAACGTGACCTTTTGTCACGTCCCCACAGACGACACCAGTGTTGGTTTTAGAGTTTTTGGGCCCAATGAGGTCCAACACAACCGTAGTTGGTGGATTCACCGATAAAATAAAGCTACTGAAAAGAAATGACTATCAATATCTTTGTATTGCACTGGTGTTCTCTGGCGACTCTCTACCGACCAAAAAGCTTGCCTTTACATTCTCTAAGGGGGCCTATTTATAGGTAACCACCCTTTGCTAGTTTAAATAGGGATATTAAGGTGGCATAATGGAGCCTATTAAGGCTAAGGGCCGTTGGGCTGCCGTTACTAGGCCTTTCCCAAAGGTCTGGTTGACCATGTATTAAAGGCGGCCCTTTAATGGCAACGGTCACCTGCTGGGCCGACCTCGTTCGTGCCGATCGTCTGCCCGCGCCGACTCCTTGAACTCGGCTCCTTGCTCGGCCGCATCCTTCTCTGGGCCTGCCCATGACCCATGACGTTGATTCCCTTCATTCCTTCTTTGGGGCTAATTTACATAGGCCCAATCTTCAACCCATCTCTTCTTTTCCTCTTAGGCCCTAAGTCCATTGAGTCCACACCCCATCATATGTTGATAACAATTAAAAATGAATATTAAATTTCAATATTTCAATTTATTCAAAATTTTAATTTTTTAACAGTTCAACTTTTTAAGTTTTATATAAAAATACATGTGACTTAATTTATTCAAATAAAATAAATTAACTTTTGCCAGACTTAAATAAAATTGTATTAATGTTAATATTTTAATAAACAAATAAATAATATGCATTTCAATACAAAATATAAAATTATTAATTGTTAAAATATTATAGGCCAGAATAAATTAAAATATTTCAAAATTAGTCGGTGTTATTAATTTCTATTAATATAATTTTAAAAAATTACATATCAATTTATTCCAAATTTTATGAAAATTTTTAACTAGATAGCCTATGTTACTTAGTCAATTGGGTGATCAGCTCTTGATGTGAGTCTGAATGTTGTTGGTTTTATGACTTTTGGACAGTCAACGGCTGGCCAACACAATCGTTAGAATAAGAGTATATGGGAAAAATATGGAGAGAATTTTAGAGAGAATAAATATTTTATATTGATGAATATTGCTTGCGAATAGTGGAAATTGTTTCTCTTTTCCGATGTATGGGGGTCTATTTATACATATTTTGGTCAATCGTTATACCCTGCACTACGGCGCGCGTAGCACTGTGCGTCCCGCGCCTCCCAAAACGACGTCGTTTTGGTAAGTTAGGTAGGGAGTTGACGTGATTATGTATATTTGTTTATACAATTATGTGTATTTTGTTTATACAGTTATGTGTATTTGTTTATACAATTATGTACATTTTTTATACAATCATGTACATCTTTTTTTTATACAGTTATGTACATCCAAAACAGGAAATTTATGTATATTATGTTAAGAGTTGATGTTTATTATGTTAAAAGTTTATGTATATTATGTATTATGTTAGATTATATGTATTATCTTTTAAAAAAAAGTATGTGTATTTTGTTATACAATTATGTACATTCATGTATACAATTATGTGTATTCTAGTATAAAATTATGTACATTGTTGAACATGAGATTTTTTTTTTAAAGAAAATTAACCGCCAACACAGGGTAGCGAAATTTCAAAAAAAAAAAATCCGAAACGACGTCGTTTTGCATCAGGGCGCACAATGCAATGCGTGCCCTGGTGCAGGATATAAATTGCCATATTTTGGCCTAGAGCTCTACAAGAATAAGAATTCTAGATTGTCCATATTGGGAGTTATTATTACATTGGGAATAAAAAAGGCCTAATCCTATTACATTATGAGTACTAAGCCCAATCCTTTTTTTTTTTGAAAGCCAACCAATGAATGATTGTATTAATGAATCAAAGCTGCAATGCAGTCTGGATGGATAGAATCCCAATACATAGCTTGATCCTGAACAAAAGCTAACGAAGCTAACGTGTGCGCATGCGCATTAATCTGCCTAGAAACATGATTAAACAAGACATAATTAAAAGACGAAATTAAATTCCTACACTGGTCTACTATTACTCCAACATAGGACATTATGATAGTTGTATTCTGCCGTATCGCATTCCTCAGCTGTAAACAGTCTGTTTGAAGGGTTACTGTTGTTATATTCTTCTCCAAAAGCCAGGATAGAGCTTCCTTACATGCCAGTGCCTCCGCCATGAATGGTGACAAACAATTCGATAGTCTCCCATTTTTCGCTGCAAGAAAAGATCCCTCCGGAGACAGCAACACAATACCATATGTAGCTTCCCCCGTGTCCTCCTGATACCCCGCATCCACATAACACCGTGGGGTGGAGTCGGTGCCGCCATTTGCCGTAGCCACCGTGAGTGCCGCCGTGCCACGGCGCACGCCTGCCGGTAGGAGTGCAGCGCCGCCGTGGCCTGCCTCCAAGCCGTCGTAGGCCGGGGCAGTGTGCCGTCCCATACCGCTGAATTCCTGCACCTCCATAAGCAATAAAGCAAAGCCACCACCGCTGCACTTTGGTCCTCTGTGAACATTGTAAGCACAATTGTTAGCCACTCGGGGAATGAGTTGACAACAATATTTGTTATTGGCAATCCTGAAATATTCCAAACATGTCTAGAATAATCACAATTGATGAATATATGCATAACATTCTCATGCTCTAACCCACACATTTGGCATGTGGGATCCACTTCCACCCTCTTTATAATCAAGTTGTTGGTTGTTGGAAGAATATCACAAATTGCTCTCCACAAAAAAGTCTTCCATTTTGGGGGTACTCTCATTCCCCACATTTTAGTCCATTTCTCAAAACTCCCAGGCGAGTGATCATAAATTCCCATAATGTGTCTGTAAGCATTTTTAACTGTGTATATCCCATTTGGGTCATCAGGCCAATACCATGTGTCCTCATATCCTGGACTAACAGGTATCCTCAATATTCTACTCACATCCTCCTCAGGCCAATACCATGCGTCCTCATATCCTGGACTAACAGGTATCCTCAATATTCTACTCACATCCTCCTCCTCAAATAAATCTGCTAAAATATGTGGGTCCCAGGTAGCAGTTTGTTCATCTATTAAACCTACCACTTTAGCATGCCTGAGCTCTACAGGCATATCAGTCTGCACCAAAGGGCTTGGATTATCAGGAAACCATGGGTGTCCCCAGATTAGTGTTGTTTTACCATTCCCTATCCTCCTGCGCACCCGTGCCACCACCATGTCATGAGCTGCCATAATACTTCTCCATGAGTGGCTCGTGCATCCTCCTACTTTGGCATCAACAAAAGTGGTATTCGGATAGTACCTTACCTTATAGACTTTTGCAACAAGTGTGTCTGGACTTGTGAGTAGGCGCCATGCCTGTTTTCCCAACATTGCTAAATTAAAATTCTTGAGATCTTTGAATCTCATTCCTCCATATTTCTTTGGGATACTTAACTTATCCCAAGCTTTACAGTGTATTCCTCTATCCATACGAGTGCCCCACCAATACTTGTTCATTGTTCTCTGGATTGATAAACATACTGAGTCCGGAATAAAAAAGACACTCATTGAAAAGGTAGGCATAGATTGTGCCACGCTTTTCAATAGAATCTCCTTTCCTGCTTGTGTCAGAAATTTCCTGTTCCATGAGCTTATTCTCTGCTTTATCTTATCCTCAATATATGAGAACACTGTCTTCTTGTTCCTCCCCACAAAAGATGGTAGTCCCAGATATTTCCCAAAATTGGGTGCCTGGTCTACCTGCAAACAATTCGCCACCTCCTCCCTATCCTCCACACTGGTATTTCTGCTAAAACAGACACTGGACTTGTGATAATTTACCTTTTGTCCTGAGAACTCCTCATATCGTCCCAGGCACTGTTTAATTACTCCTGCCTCCCCGCTATCTGCTCTAAAAAATAATAGGCTATCATCTGCAAAAAATAGATGTGATATCTGCAGGGCTCCCCTAGCAACCCTGCAGCCATGTATTAAGCCAGCCATTTGCGCTCTTTGCAATAACATAGATAACCCTTCTGCACATATGAGGAATAAATATGGGGACAAAGGATCCCTTGTCGCAACCCTCTGGTTGGCGTTACACCCCCACTATGAACACCATTAATCAAGATGTTATACTGGACAGTAGTAACACACTGCATCAACAAATTAATCCACCGGTCCTCAAAACCCATTACCTCCAACATCCGTCTCAGGAACTGCCATTCCATCCTATCATATGCTTTGGCCATATCCAATTTCAATGCCGCCCACCCCTTCCTTCCACACTGTTTTTTATTCAAGTAATGTCTCACCTCCGCAGCTATTAAAATATTATCAGTAATAAGTCTCCCAGGGATAAAAGCACTCTGGGCCTCAGAGATGAGGTTCCCCATAAGCGGTTTCATCCTATTGGCTATTACCTTTGCCATGATTCTGTACAGGACATTACTTAGTGCTATTGGTCTCATATCAGCTACTGTCTCAGGCACATCTTTCTTCGGGATTAAGACCACATTAGTATCATTCAATCCTTCAGGCAGCGAGCCTGAGTTCAAGCAATTCACAATAAATTTAGACACATCTTCCCCCACATTATCCCAATATTCCTGGTAGAATCCAGGGTTCATACCATCCGGTCATGGTGCTTTGTCAGGGAACATTGCAAATAAAGCACTCCTGACCTCCTCTAACTCAAACTGGCGGATGAGCATAGTGTTCTGCTCAGTGGTCACACGGGGGGCAAAATTATCAAACATGGGATCCTCACACTCAGTGTTTGATGATGTAAAAATAGCAGCATAATATTCCAAGACTACTCTCTTCATATTATCCCCCTCCACCCATGCACCCATATCATATTTTAATCTAGGTATATAATTTTTCCTTCTACGAGCAGAAGCGTACCTGTGATAGAACTTGGTATTGCAGTCCGCATCACGCAGCCAGTGCTGTTTCGCCCGCTGCCTCCAAAATACATCCTCCTGCATCTCCAACTGCAGTAGTCTTTCCTCAATCTCGCGAAATTCGGCCAATGCAGCCGAATCTCGTCTGTGCCGTAGCTCATCCTGCTCTTTCCTCAATTGCTTGATGCGGTCACCAAACTTATGCCAATGCTCCCCACCCCACCGCATTAGCCTTCCACCACAATGCTGCTGACAAATCAACAGCCCCTTATCCCTACCATCATGCCAGGCTGTCTCCACCACCCCCCGACAACCGTCATCATGAATCCATGCCATCTCAAAGCGGAATCGTTTCGGTCCCCCATATCTGCGGCCACGCACTACATCAATGTTTAAGAAGAGAGCAGAGTGATCAGACTTCCGGGTTAGAATATTTTCGACCCACGCCTCAGTATTCACTATTCAGAGTAGTCCATCGTGTAGACACCAACACCTTATCCAACCTTTCCTCCATACATCTATCAGTCCCTTTCCCCTTCTCCCATGTAAACTGGTGACCTCGCATTGGCAATTGGACCAGTCCACAATTGTAAACAGTGTCCCCAAACCCTCTCAACAAACTAACCGGGTGAGGATTCCCCCCTCTCTTCTCACGTTGTTATAATAAATCATTGAAATCTCCCAACGCCACCCAGGGCAGTGTAGACTTATCCCTTAACCCACTTAACAATTGCCACGCCTCCCTGCGTCTATGCCTCTGTGGAAACCCATAGAAACATGTCATCCGCCATACCTTCTCCCTTATAGCCCAATCCTTAATAGACTCTTAAGTTGCTTTGTGCTGTGCTTGGACTTCCTTGATCAAGTTACTTTCTTGCATATGGCCCAGACCTCCAGTATACGACAAATTATTGTTTGGACCATGGTCCACATAGCTGTGTGGATCATGAATGTAATATACATTATTAATATATTAAAAGTACATTATTTGTGTACTGAATGTATATTATTTGATAATATATAAAAAATCTTGTACTTTCAAATAATGTACTTTTAGTATATTAAAAATGTACTTTTTATTTATGGTTCACACAAATGTGTGCACCATGGTCCATGGAATAATGATTCCCAGTATACCATCCATCAAATGTAATTATTATTTTGGATATATTAATGTTAACATGTAAATATCGAAATGTGGCAGCGATAATGTGAGCACCATGTCAACTAAGCTAATGTTAATATTAATACCATCGACTATTGCCCTTAATTAAGGTAGAATAACTAAATTAAATAAAATAATATAGTACATGAACTTTATATGCACTTTGACCTATAACCAATTTATACACTTGGAGTATCAAGACAATTAATAATGTATATATATTAGAAATATTCATTTTCTCTTCAAAAAAAAAAAAAAAAAGAAATATTCATTCCATCTCAAATATATTGTCCACTCTTATTGGACATACATATATAAGAAAATGTTGTAATGTATTAACTAATGATATATTTCTATTTATGTCCACTCTTATTCCATCTCAAAAATATTGTCCACTCTTATTGGACATACATATATAAGAAAATGTTGTAACGTATTAACTAATGATATATTTCTATTTATGTCCATAATAAATATATGGTAAATTTTTTATTAAAGGGTGTTTTGGGTAATGGAGTAATAAATGTTGTATTTATGAAGACAACTTTTTTGTTTGAACGATGTGGTATTATAGTTTAGCATAATAAGGTTGTAAGTACCCACCAAAAAAATAATAAGGCTATAAGTCTAACTAAGAAATTTCAAATGTGATCTTATTTCATTTTATTAATGTCTCAAAAATATTGTACATAAATATAAATTTGTAATGCTATATAATTGGATAAGAAAACTTTAAAAACAAAAAAACTAAATTTTGGTTCATATAAAGTAAAACGTTTTATATTCAATCTCGATTTTCTTTATATGTATTAAATATATACATATACCTACCAATACTCAATTTAGGAAAAAATCATTAATCAACGCATGATTGGAAAGAATAGAAACATCACCATATCATAAGAACAAACAAGAAAATATTTTTACAAATTAATACTTATTTCTAATTTTTGTGACCCTTAGAATAAGTGATGGATGATGTGATGACACATGACAGACTTTATAAAAATAACAAAACTTGAACAATTCACCAACGCTCATAAGACTTCCAAATCTCATAAATTGATGGTAATAATGAATCAATTTGACATATGGTTGAGTTTGATTGGAGTATTGTGAGGGCATAATGAAGTGAGAGCCGAGAGGTCCAAAAATGAGAGAAAAAGAGGGGCCAAAGAAAAATGAGAATTTTTGTTTACACATGATACATGGGAAAAAAAGCTAGTGGTTATGGGGATTTGGGGACTTATTCCTAAATTTAATTCTTGGTAATTATTAATTAAAAGTTAGAAGTACCTGCTATCACGGCACCCAAATCTCACTCACAAAAAAAAAAAAAAAAATAGAATTTTCTTTTCTGGTTTTATATTTTGGTTAATAAGTTTATCACTTTATCCCCTTTGTTAAAAAAAATTATAATTTAGCTGTTCAAGTAATCCCCTTTCTTGTCATTATTATCTCATCATCATTATTAAGCACCATCTACATCTACATATAAAAAAAAATTCAGGCTTTCTTGTTTATACTAATATATATTAATACATAATTTTCATATTGTTTGAACGAAGCTGCACATAAAGCTTCATTTTCTCTCTCCATTTTCTCATTGTTGTTGGTAAGTCTTTTGTTTATTTGAGGGATTAGGGGGAGTAAATATTGACCTTATTTCTCAATCTGGGTTGGTAATTTTCGTTTTTACTTTTTTGTATTTTTAGGTTTTGTGTTACTATATACATGCAAGAGAGGAAGGACAGTGGTGATGTTGAAATCTCATGGTGGGATTAATATATAGACATAAAGCAAGTATAAAGGTGAGGCTTTTGGTCTTTTTTGTTATTCTCCCTCGGACACTTGCTTTGGCTAATGGGCACTACCCCACAAATCTTTGTATTGCCACTACTGTGCCGTGGTAAAGGAAGGAGGGTAATAGTAGGGTTATGGGTTTTGTACCATATGCAAGCAAATCTTTATGATATTGCATACAAGAAAGAGGTTTTTGAAGTTGTATTAAAAGTGGGGTACCCGGTACCGTAAAGAGTAGAGTACATATCAATTGCTTGTCATATCTTCGGAATGTCAGCAAAAAGATCACATAGCTTGTGTAGATTACAGACCTAAAAGACATTTTGGGGTCTTTATTAGCTGACACCAACAGGGTTTGTCATTTATTATGATGGGGCAAATTGTTTCTGATGGATGGTTTAATTTTAATTTTTCAGAGGGTGGTGTGGTGTGGTGGGTTGCATTGATTGGTCATTTTGTTCTTTGTTTGGTTGTCTCAGTCTCAACTCTGATGAGAGGAATTCATGTGTGTGACAGATATCTTGTACCATTTGCTTCTCTTGGGTTTTGGGCATTTCTATTTGGTACTGGGATTCTGGCCTGGGACTTATGAGGTGCTTCTTCACCTCTTCATTCATAATATCATTACTAAAGGTAAAGGTAGCTCTCTACTCTCCTCTCCTCTGCCCTTTCATAGCTTTTTTCCAGGGTGAAAACTGCAAACTGTTTATTTGTTTCTTTCTCTTCTTCTTTTGTTTTACTTGCAATACAATAACATGTTACTTTTTCTTTCTTTTGTCCCTTGTCTGCTTTTTCTATTCTTCTATGTTTTGCATAGACATTTTCTTGATTTTAGGTTACAAAAATAAATAAAATATGTTGATAGCTTTTGCATATTGTGTTCACTTCACTTAAATCATATCTGATTTACATCTTTTATTTTGTTTCCTGTGGGTTTGCAGCATAGAGAAAGTGGATAGATAGAAGGAAGGTTGGCAATGGAATCATCTTCTACTCACAACAGCCCTATTCCCCTAAGAGAAGTGCACCCTAACTACTATCCATATCCACCTCCTTTGGCTACATATCAGGATGTTGTGGCCTCACCTCAACTCTTCATGGATACACTGCAGAGACTCCATGCCTCTCTTGGAACCAAGTTCATGTATGTTACTTATGTTGAATGTTTTGTATTACTTCTATTCTCTGCCTGTGTTGTGTTCATCTCTTGCTTACACACAATGTACTGCAAATATTGACACAATGTACTTTGCAGTGTTCCTAAGTTATCTGTGTACTCCTCTCCTCTGTTCAGTAATCTGTATTTGCAAAACTATGATTCTTCAGGATCCCTGTTATTGGGGGCAAATACCTCGACTTACATAGGCTCTTCGTGGAGGTTACTTCTAGGGGTGGTCTTTCAAAGGTAAGATTCATTCCAAATTTATGGATAAAAATGATTCCTTTTTGTTCTTTTTCTGGGCTTAAGGCAACCAGACCTTTACCCTTGTTAAGTATTATATTGAACATAGTTTTGATCAATATGAGCAAATGTTAGGCAGTATTAGCAAGCTAGGAAGTGAAGATTGCATCCCTAGTTTATATTATATTACACAAATAATCTTGACCTTTTTTTCATAGCTTCCATCAATTGATTCCTACCATGCAGTGCTCGAAAAGAACTGTATTTTGCTACACTTGAAATTCTTTAGCTACTTGCTGATTTTTGTTCACTGCCTTCTATCTATCCGAGGGTGTCTTAAGGCCTTAGTTTTTGTTTTTATTTTTTTGGTGATATCAAACAAGCAAAACGAAGCTGATGGTTTAAGTTTTGATTGCAACTGAGGCTTGTAATAATGGAAATTTAATTTTAAATATAAGAGTAAAAAAGGACATCCCCCTCTCCTCTCCCACATGGTTACATGCAAATCTATTGTGCTTTAAGTAATTTCTTTTGGTATCTGTTTTAAGTGCAGCAGGATATTTACGTGAAATGGGATTGCAGGTTCTTGGAGAGAAAAGATGGAAAGAAGTAACTACCGTTTTTAACTTTCCCTCCTCAGCTACAAATGCTTCTTTTATTCTTCGGAAATATTATGCTCAATTGCTCCACCACTATGAACGAATTTACTATTTTAATGCAAAGTGTTGGACTCCTTCATCAGCTGGTGCGTGAAAAACCCTTAAAGCAAAGCTTCTCTTATATTTGATGAGTTTTTTTACTGAACGTATAATCATCTGCAGATGCTTTGCAGAATGTGGCCATGATTACAGCTCCGCCTTGTAGGCTGGCTGGAACACCACAACAATTGCCAGACATTCAAGCTGATGTGCCAGTTAAAGTAGCTAAAGGTGGTAACATGTTTCTCACTTTTTCCTCATCTTTTCTACGTAACTAATAAAAATTACTTGTCATCCCAATATAATTTTGACGATCTCCCATCCCACTTTACAAATTCAGTTGGCTTTCTTTGTTTGCGTTTTAATGATTTAGATCAGAGTTTAAAAAGTTATCTTAGATCCTCTTATATTGTGAGACGGACAAAAACTGATGACTCCAAGTTGTTTTTTGTGGTTGCAGAAAGTGTTAGACCATCAGCAGGTGCAGGTTCAGGTTCTGAAGTGTACGGTGTTATTGATGGGAAGTTTGAGAGCGGGTATCTAGTAACTGTTAAAATTGGATCAGAGGATTTTAAGGGTGTACTATATGCCCCTCCGAATTCAGCAAACCTAGTACAGCAGCATCAAAGTGTCCCTCAAATGCAAATTGTCCCTGTAAATACCACTGATAATAATGCAGCATCAGGAGTGGTCCGGAGAAAGCGTAGGAAGAAATGCGAAATTAAAAAGAGAGACCCTGCTCGTCCAAAGCCTAATAGAAGTGGCTATAACTTTTTCTTTCAAGAACAGCATGCCAGGCTCAAACCGCTTTTTCCTGGAAAGGATAGGGAAATCAGCAGGATGATTGGTGAGGCATGGAACAAATTAAACGAGCCTGAAAAAGCGGTATATTAACCAAACTGTTTTTTTTTTTTTTTTTTTTTGTTGTACTTGGATGTTCATTGTGTCATCATGCACAAAATTGTTTGTTTGAGACCAGATTTATCAGGAGAAAGCTATTAAAGACAAAGAAAGATACAGATTAGAGCTGGAGGATTATCAGGAGAGATTAAGGACAGGACGAGTCCAAGGCCATGCAGCGCAAATGCAACAGTCATCTTTTAAACCAGCTGCTGCTGCTGCAGATCTAATGGTTCCGGTCCAAAGTAAAGACGGGAACACTTCTCCTTCAGAGGACGAGGCAAGCTCCAATAAGAGCGAGAGGAGCAGCTTGGAAGATCATAAAGTCGAGGACAAGGGTGTGGATCTAGAGGCAGCACTTCCCGGGGTGGAAACCGAGATTGAAAGTGCCACTTTGGGGAAGGGAGTTGACAACAATGCTGCAATGCACAAGGAAGAAATTTCATTACCGATACGCCCCATGGGAGACAATTCTTCAGTACCCAGCTAGTGGAGGAGCGAGAAACGGAATGGAAGAAGCATTTTCATGACAGTTAGTAACTACAAGGTATGGGTAATTTAAGGTGCTGAAGAAGAAGAAGAAGAAGGAAGAAGAAGAAGAAGAAGAAGATTAGATTGTTTTGAACAGTGTAGTTATTCTGCATCTTTCTCTGCTTTTACTAATAGCAATGCTACAAGGAATGAAACATGTTAGATACATATCTTTGGTAGCTATTAGTATTAGAGTAGATAGAAGTGTAGCCTAGCACGCGTCGCAAGTAAATTGTGAAGCGTCCATCCATCCTGTTTGATAGGTGGTAAGAGTCTATGCCTGTTTTATAGTTAAGTTTTCGAGCGTTGGTTTGTGGCTGCTTCATAGTCCCTCCATGAAACCTGAGATGGGCAAATTTTGTTGGAGATACATCATGAGAACCAAATCCTTTTCCTATGTAGCCCTAATTTTTACATGTTACACTGGCTAAATTAGACAAATGAACTATTATTGTTTGGCACACATATTGGGTAGGGCGGTTAACGAACCGAACATAAACAAATGGAGGTTATTTGTGTTTGTTTGTTAAGATTTTTGGAATGTTCGTGTTCGTTTGTTAATGTTTTTGAAAATCGTGTTCGTGTTCGTTTGTTAAGCATATATATAGCGTGTTCATTTGTTCGGTTCAGGTGAACATGTGAACTCCTATACATCGTTGAGATGTGAGATTGGACGGTCGAGATTTGATAGCGGTGCATTTGGTGTAGTTGTGCAATGGTGCAGTGGTGATGTATAATCAAAGGTGCACAGGTTAACATCAAATATTAAATACTCAATGTTAAAATCTTCGTTATATTAAAATATATTTTTAAAATAATAGTGTGTGTGTCTATATTCATATAGTTGTAGAATTCATATTTATATTATTGATGTAAGAATTTTAGAAATAATAAATTACTAAATATAATTATGGTAACATTTAATTAATATTTAAATGAAATCAAACTTACCATTGTAGAATGTAAGAAAATATATTGTACATGCATATGCATGGTAATAATAATGTGAAAAGATAACAGAAGTTATAACGGTAGGTTATATTTTTGTCCAAAAAATTGTGTAGTACAATTTTGATAACATAATGTACAAAAAAAGGTTAATAGAAAAAACGGGCATAAATTAGGGGTATAAGCTCGATTGAGACTTATTATATATATATATATATATATATATATATATATATATATATATATATATATATATATATATATATATATATATATATATATATATATATATATATATATATATATATATATATATAGGGTGCTTCTCTGGTGCACGCCACACTTATTGTGTGAACTTGTGCACCATCATGGTGCGTTGATTTTGGTGATCCGATGGCTCACAATTACAGTGCACCTTTAGGGATGTACCTGCGGAACACATAGGCGTAGTGCAATTGCGTAAATTCTTCTTTTCGAATTTTGAATTGTCGACTCCCTACACCTACCTTCACGTGCATGTTTATCGGAGGAAGTTTGAGATTGGCGGAAGGTGACGGAAACACAGACCTTCACGTGCATGTTTATCGGATGAAGTTTGAGATTGGCGGAAGGTGACGGAAACACACGCGAGGAGTTCCGACGAGTGGAGCAGTGTACGTACGTCCGGTGATTGCAACTCCATTGTTCAGTCTCCCATCGCAGTGCACGTCGGCCGGTGATTGTGGTTTGCAACGGCCGTGCGAATCGGCGAGTGGAGTGCAGTAGGCATACTTGCGATGAGTGACACGGGGTCTCCAGAGTTATCAGGTTCGCATTCCTGCGCATGCATGTCGCCTCCCGGTTTATGCACAATGTTATTAGTCCCCCTGTTTTTATTTACTACATACGCGTCTGCCCGCATATATAAGTGCTTAGTTCTGATGGAGAAGAGCGTATGATGAAATTAGTGGAGTGGGTTGTATTAGGAAGTTCTGTATACCCTTGTAATTGCAGTAGGATGAATGCATTTTTTCTCACCTCCTACTCCCATACTACAGACTATAGGTGTTGTTAGCTCTACTAGAATTACAATGAAGGAGAATTAAACTTAGAATCCATGTTTAGTCATATTCTTGGCAATAAGAATGATTCGGTTCAGTTAAATAATAAAGGGAAAATGGTGGCCGGGTAAAATTAATTCGATCCTACAACTTCTGTGCGTTTAAAAGGGACATCCACTTGAATGGAGTTCCCAGGATGGAGTTGGGAACATGGTAGGAATGTAGGTATAATGCATTCATAGCGGGAGTGGTAGTAGGCAAACACCTTAAAATCAATGTCGTTAGAACATATTAAGGCTTGGGGCAATTAGCTTATTTATCCATGGTGGGGTAGTTTCAGTGCATACCGGGGACCTAGGGGTGGAGGCCACTAATACACCTCTAATATCCAGAGATGCAATGTCTCTTTAGAATAGTGAGACCTCAGCAGAATAGTCACTTGACTTTTGTAGACTTTATGTTGCATACATAATGGAATATACACTGGGCTGTTAGCTTTTCTAGTAGAAGTAAAGGTAAAGTAAAACACCAAAGGTAAGTGCACTACTACACTTCTAAAATGCATAAACACAAACACTAATGCAGGTGCGGAAGGATTAACCCGGAATAATGAAGCTGAGCGCACTGTATTTTTAGGAAAAATTGGACTAATTATGCTGTGTTGTATCTTGAATGCCATTTTATGTTTGCACTGATATTATTATAAGTTGGTTGTTGGTGATAGACCCATCAGACTGGCAGGTTTTCTTAACTGGATTTTTTGCCTCATTTGTATTATGTGTGTGTTTTCGTCCACAGGTGCCCATGCGAGTGAGGGCGACAGTGACTACGTCTCACATGGTGTTCGCGAACTACTAGCAGAGCAAACCACGTATTGGTTTCTGGCTGTGGACAGCGAAATCACCCCGGTTGTTGGGCGGCGTTTCAGCACATTGGACGAAGGCATCGACTTTTACACGAACTACGCACGGGTCTGCGGGTTTGATGTGCGGTTGTACACCATGAAACGGGCCCGTGACAGGGAGACTGTGATGCGTTATTTGGTATGTAACCGGGAAGGCATTAAGGGTGGTGGTATTAGCAAGCCTATCTGCGCACACGGGGATAGTGGAGGTAAGAGGAAGCAACGAAGAAGACGGATATCTAACAGGGTTAAGTGCAGAGCCCGGATATGTTTTAGAAAGGTGAGCAGTGGGGAGTTTGAGATAACTGTGTTCGTTGAGGGACACAGTCATCATATGTGTTCCGACGCATCGAAGTTATTCATGAGAGTTAACCGGAAATTGGATGTGGCACACCAGGCGTTTGCAGCAAACTGTGTTAGAGCGAATGCCGGTTCCTCCAAAGGTTTCAAGCTATACAGGGAGATCACCGGGTTATACGCAAATGTTGGTGCGACGGACACCGAGTTCCACAATTTCAAACGGGACCTCCAGGTATATGTTGATGGCAAAGATGGTGAAATGATTATAGAGAAGTTTAAAACGAAGTGTGCTATTTGTGAGAACTTCTTTTTCGATTACGACATGGACAAAGAAAACCGGGTTGCGCGACTTTTCTGGGCTGACCCCATCGGTCGTCGCAATTTTTCCTTATTTGGCGACACGGTCTCATTCGATGCTACTTACGGTACAAATAGGTATGAGCGGTACGCTTGTCGTTTGTTTTTTTTTTTTTTTTTTTTTGTTTATTTTTTTGGCCGTAACTCCAGTGCATGCTTAGAACACTGCGGTGCATGTCGGGCGCTTGTTTGTGTCGGGCTTTATGTTTGTGTGGTAATTAATTACATCAAATGCATACTCATTTTCGAATTCTGATAATGAGTATGATAAATTAAAGTTAAGTGCTACTAATGATATAATTTAATCATGATATATAATACAGACCAAACTTTGTTCCATTCTAAAATGATTTTTTGACCTGTCATTAGATTTTCTTTAAAAAGTTTTCTAGCTCAAAGTCTCGTGCCTGGATTAGTGGTTAGTAGTTATTAGTTTATTACTACCATGTTTACTACAAAGATATAAAGTAAAATGACACTATATTATAGTAAGTGCTCTCAAGTAGTTAGAGTGGAAAAGATTTTCAAAAGTGCATTTAAGGAAGGTAATTAAAATAAAGAAGCAATTGAAAGATAAGTTTTGCCCATAATTGATATGGAGGATGTTTGAATATTGGCCAAGAATAATGTCCACCTCCCTTTAATTTCCCCTCACACCCATTTCGACTTAATTACATCAATGCAACTTGTGGTTTCATTTATAGCCATCGTTTCTTTTTTTTTTTTTTTTTTTTTGTTCTATTTTTTGTGGATTGTATAGTCGTGTTAACTTTGCAAATTGCCGTTTTTTATGAAGGTACAATCTGGTATTTGTTCCGTTCACCGAGGTGGACCACCACAAGCGGTGCATTACTTTTGCTGCCGGGTTGCTCACTAAAGAGGACGTTGAATCATACACGTGGTTATTACAAAGGTTTAGAACTGCAATGAGTTCTGTCTCATCGTGCGTGATCACTGATCAAGACCCGGCTATGAAGATTGCTATTGCCCAGGTTTTGCCAAATTGCCGACACCGTTTCTGTATGTGGCACATTATAACAAAGGTGAACGAGAAAATTGGGTCTGACTTGGTAAAAGATGTGCAGTTCTGCAATAAGCTAAACGGTATTGTCTGGAACGAGACTATCAGTGTAGGTGAGTTCGAAGTGCAATGGCATTTGTTAATGGAAAAGTACAACCTAACAACCCACCGCTGGTTCACCAAGCTGTATACTGAAAGGGAGTTCTGGATCCCTGCATATTTTACAGATTTGCCCATGAGTGGGTTGTTGCGCACTACATCCCGATCTGAAGCAGAGAACAACGTTTACGGGAACTGTTCCCGACCCCACTTCAGTCTGGTGGAGTTTTATATGCAGTACGAGAGTGTACTGGAGACCCAGCGTTACAAGCAAAGCAAGTTAAACGCCGAGAGCGAGGGGTACTTGCCCGATTTCAAAACCCCCTTGGCACTAGAACGGTATTTGGCACAAATGTTCACGATAAAAATTTTTTATGAGCTACAACAAGAAATTGAAGCTGGGTGTTTCTATTGCCGAGTGGTTGGTATCCGTGAGGAGGGGGAGGTCATCACTTACGACATAAGGGGGGAAGGCACCGCTACCTACACTGTGCAATAC